CTGTATAACCCTTCAACCAGCTTCCCGAAATAGTTAACATTTTATGTAACCAGATAATTACAAAAGCCAAGAGAGATTAACATCTATACAATGTCATTAAGTTCTTCACATATCTTATTTATATTTTGCATTAAGGTAGAGGCTCTCCCTAACCTCTCCACATCCCATAAGATAAAGTAAACATAGAGTCAAATAGAGGAAGAAGTCAACTCTCTAACTTTCTCCCTAACCTCTCTCCAGCCCTACTGTAATGCATACCTTGGCCAGGCATGCCACAGAAGTCTCTCCTTCAGAACCGAGCCGCCATTCCTTAGAAGTTTTTCCTGGTATTAGCTTCCATATGAGCTTTTCCCCAGCAGTTTTCAAAGCTGACAGGTGCTGTGTCACCCAATTTCAAGCTCCTCCCCAGGCATATCCCATGTTGTATGACCTGTCAATCTATGATACAATGGCTAAACATTCTAGTTTTAATTTGAAATATCTCTTGCAGGCCACCAAGGTAAAATGGAGAGACACCGAAAGTCATTTTTTTCTCCAGCACGATTTTCCCAGTGTCACTCAACTCCTATGTGAAGAGCAGACAAGGACTATCACATTACATGACTAAGAGTAACCCCTCTAGCTGCTGCTGTTGTATTTATTTTTCACCGCAGGAATCAGCTTTTAGTTATTACTGTGTGTGGAGACTACCACATCTATCGTAGCGTGGTAGTGAGCATTTATTTTAATTTACTAATCATTACCAATTCTTAAGCTATTCATGACAGTATTGTTAATATATTTTGCTCCTTTGAGGCCTGATACCCGGAGGTAATATGTCACTCCCTGGAATTCCATTGCTATTTCTGGTGTCAAAGAATGTACTGCTAAGCACGACATCTTAGATACTAAGCTAAGATTGTTTATTGTGTGAAAGACTACTTAATTAGGAAATTAAAATTGTCTTGACTGTTGAAGATTGATTGATGAGTTTAATTAAAGAGAAGTTAATCAATCATTTACTTTTATTAAAAAATGCTAAGAACCTACTGTGTGTCAGGCACTTGGGATGCAGAAATTGATTAGAAAAGCATAATCTTTTAACTCACATTATTTATAATATAAAGTATGGGGCACTAAAATCTAAACTGTGTTGGGAATCTATCTCATGATCTTTTGTAAGTTTTGATGGGATCCAGAGCTATTTTAGTAGGGTGACTTAAGGGACAGTGTACAGAAGGTACTTTCAGAGCCAGAGTGAAGTCAGAGGGACAAGGAAGAGATCACAGTGGTGTAAATGTGAATAGTGACAGGTTGGTTCCACAACGAAACAGATTCTGATAAAGAGAAACACATAGTTTACTGGAGGGCTTGGATGAAGGAAACCAGCTTGGGCAGAGGGAGATATTGAACTATGATGCTGCTGAATTAGAGGTTTCAACACATTCTACAGGGACGAAAATGACCTGTTAGAGATGTTTCCGACTAAAACAAGAATGATGAGCCTTTGTACCATACATTGACAGTTCATATGATATTGGCTGTCAGGGGGAGGAGTTTGAAATCAAATGAGACAGTACCTGTCAGCTGGAGCAACTGCTGGGGAGAAGCTCATATGAAAGCTAGCACCAAGCAAAACTTCTGAAAGCAAAAGGAAAGTTGACTAAGTTCTGAAGGAGAGACTTGCATAGTGTGTCAAGTAATACACTACAGTAGGGATAGAAAGAGGTTAGGGCGATATGTAGAGAGCTGGCTTCTTCCACTACTTGACTCTAGTTTTACCTTATCTTATGTAACATGGAGACTTACTCAGCACAAGACAAATACTCTTCCACTGTCCTCTCCTTTCACATGCAGCATGTGGATTCTGCATGTGCTAAGCAAACCTCACAAGCATGTGAGCACTTACCTCACTATGTGCCCTCCCTCTTCTTTTTTTCTCTTTCATTTCTTTCCTGCCTGCATTTTTCTCCTTTAAATTCTGAAGCCTTCGAAACCCTCTTTAGGAAAAATGGAGGCCACAGATCCTACTGTGACTTGTGTCTCTTTTTCCTGGGCCCATCCTCAACCACAGTAAAATAAACCTCTAAATTGATTGAGACCTGTCTCAAACACTTTTTGTTTCACAGTATTCAACAATGTTAAGTGCTACCCAGAGCTTGGGGGAAAATAGGATTAAGAAAATCCAATTGGAACTTAACAATAGGGAAGTTATTTCAGACCACAGACTGGAGATAAGTCAGGAAAATTAATGGAAACTGAGTAAATGGGGACCACGACTGTGTACTACCCTTTTACATATTTTCTCTATGAAGAGATGGGAGAAACATGGCAGGGGTTGGTGAGAAATAGGAGATTTGTAGAGGTTTTCTTTTTTTTTTTAATTTTTAATTTTTAAAGAGTATTCGAACATTTAGGAAAGAGTGGAGCAAAAACAAGGAACCAACGTCTCTTAACAGGAGGTTGGAGTGGAGTGCAATACACAATGAATGGTTAGACATAAGAGGAGAAGAGACACAATTTTCTTTTTAACAGAAGACAAAATTGAGCCGATAGAAACCAATGGTCGTCAGTTTATAATTAGCAAGTTAGTGAAAATAATGCGGCCTAGAATCTAAGGTCAAGGGAGAAGTCAGATAGAGATAGAGCTAATAGGAGAAACCAAGGGCTGAGAATTTAAATAAAACATTCACACAGTCTTTCTGTTCCTCTACCACACCAGTAGTCAGTGTCTTTTTTTTCTTTGAAATCTTTAAAATGTATTTAATAAATGAAGTAAATGAGTAAATCTGAGTTTTAGTGAAACATAATGAAGGATTCCAATAGGAGCTAATGTTGTACTGAACTGAGCATAGAAAGTCAACACCAAGACAAAAGTATGCAAAATTGCAGGGTCTTTATTGCCGGCGGCCACGGAGGACTCACGTCTCTCCAACTCGTGGCCCCAAAAGGAGGGTGTCAAGACCTTTTATGCCCATACAACCACCTCGGGAGTGAGGGTGAGGGGTGGGGGTGGGGGTGAGGGGCTTCAGACCTTCCAAGGGCTAGTAGATTCTGTAAATCACCTCCTGGGCGGAGATGAGGGTGAGGGGCTCCAGACCTTCTGAGGGCCAGGAGACTTTTGACATTCTGATTGTTACTTAAGCAGTTCACAAGTCAAGATAGAAATTTAGACATAATTGACCAACATTAACATGTAAAAAGAGGTCAGAAGACTGACAAAATAGACTCTTTGTAACAATTGGATACTAAACTCCAACCTGAGCATGGTACACAGTCACATGACAGATAGCAGGCCCTGAAGGAAATCAAAGTGTTTTACCCCAAAATATATTTCTTTGACATATTTTGGAATTGTCCTGCAAAGCCAACTCTTGTAGGGAAAATATGCATTCTGTGAATTATCTCCTTCCCTTATTGGGTTTAGGAAATTAAAATCTTTTACACCAAAATGTATTTCTTTGACACATTTTGGAATGGCCCTACAATGTCATCTCTTGTGGGAGAAATTTGCATTCTGTTGATGATCTCCTTCCCTTACTAGATTAAGGAAATTAAAATAATATATGCCAAAATTTATTTCTTTGACGTATTTTGAAATTACTACGGTTTGACCAACAGGCAGAAGCGGCCTTGCAAAGCTGTCTTAAGTGAAGAAAATTTGCACCTGTAGAGAATCCCATTAATGCAAGTCCTTTCCCTTTCTATGCTTTCCCTGATCCAGAAAAGATTGAGAGTCTGACATCTTTAAATATCTGAAAAGAAACATTTACCATCTACTCACTCTGAAGGAACGTTCTGAAGGAACGTTCATCTACATAGCAAGGCCATCTTTGCTAGCCAAGCTCCTTATTTTCTCTCTCTCTTAACCTCTCTTGCCACTGAACCTGACTTACCTATTTCTTCTGGTCATGTTTTGAGTTTGCATAATTTACTCACCTCAGGATAGCATATAAGTTTCCATAATTCATTGGGAAGTTGGGTCTTCATTTTGAAGGCTCACATGTACACATGTTTAATAAATTTGTATGCCTATTCTCCTATTAATCAATCTGCCTGATGTCAGTGGTTTTCAGTGGACCTTTAGGGAGCTAAGACCCTATGGCCCCCACAAGGTCTTTTCCAGAGCATCTGACACCTTTTAAGTTCTGATAAAAGACATTTACATTTATTCTCTCTGGAGTCTGCTACTTAAAGACATCATCTACATAACAAGAACCTTGGCTTCTGCTGTGGAAGGAGACCCTTAATCACCTTCCACCTTCTACACTTTATCTCAAAAGGAGAAGTTAGAAGTTAGCCAGAGGAGGGACCAGTTGGCAAGACAGCCAGGTTAAGGATAAGACCCCTAGAGGAATATTTCCAAAGGCATTGTTTTTAGTTAGACAGGATCAAACCCCCACTTAAGTCACATACTCTGTGCCTACTTCGGGGATCAAGACCCTTTCACATGTAATTTCTAGAGCTGTAAACCCAAGACCTATTCACATACAGTTGTAAGCCCAAGACCCTTTCACATGTAATTTCTAGAGTTGTAAGCCTTTAAAAGGGCAGGGACTTTTTTTGTTAGGTGAGCTGGGCTGTTAGGCAACTATGCTGCTGTTGCTCCTAGTCACATAAATCACCCATTCCTTCCCAGTTCAGTGTTCTAGAGGTTTGTCTTGCAGCTTTTTCTGCTTGACTACAACCTTCTTTATCTTAACTCAAGCATTTCTTTCTACTGACTTCAACTCTTTAGGCAAAGTTAACCTTTTTCAACCAATTGCCAGTAAGAAAATGTTTGAATCCACGTATGACCTAGAAGCTTGATTTGAGATATCTTGCCTTTCGAGGACAAATCAATGTATACTTTACAGGTATTAATGTGTGTCATTGCCTGCAACTTCTGTCTCCCTAAAATGTATAAAACCAAGTTGTAGCCCAATCGCCTTGGGCACGTGTTCTCAGGACCTTGTGAGGCTGTGTGATGGGCATGGTCACTAATATCTGGCTCAGATGAAACATCTTCAAATATTTTACAGAGGTTGGCTGTTTGCATCAACAATAAGAAAGTCAAAGATTCAGATGTAGAAGAAAACGCAGCTCAAGTGAAAGGAAGTGGAAATATAAATTAAAGTAAGGTTTCATTTATCTCCTGAATATAGAGAAAGAAACTTTTCCTTCCTTCATTTCTTAAAGCATTTACTTTAGAAAACTCAAGTTGTTTTCTGTCTCTTTGAAATGCAGGTTAGTCTTTCTAAACTCTAAATGAGCCTCTTGCCAGGTTTAAGACTTAAGCATTTCTTTCCAAAAACCTGGGGGCTATCTCTGAAATGTAGTGATCACGATAGCACTCATCTCTCCCAATGTTTGCAGGAGGGTAGCTACTTTCACAAATGCCTTGTCCTAAGTTGAAAAAATACTTTTTGTCATAAAGATATTAGAAGTTTATTTTTCCTCTGGATAAAACCAAACAGCAAATACAGGTAGTAACCATGTGAACTATGCGTGACAATGGTACTGTTCAGTTCTATTACTTGAGGACTAGTTCTTATTTGTCTTGAGAACTTGTATGTAATGGATTGTATTTTCTTGGAAATATAAAAATGTAGGTTTCTTTCAGGCTACAATTTCTTAGCAGATTGCTTGTGATGCAATCAATTTCTGATTTAATGCACATTTAATAATAATATTGGTTTCTTTCTCTTCTACCTTTTGAAGAGGTTTTGTGGGTAGGGAGGAAGATATTTTAATTACATCTTCTCAACATTTAAAATTATATAACAGCCAATAAAGAACTTCAAGATGAACTTGAGAAGAGGAAATGCTGTCAGAAGTAAATGAAAGGTAATAGTCCAGATAGATCCAAGGTGGAACATCCAGTACAAAGGCAGAAGTAATAAATGAATTAGGAAAACATGGAACAAAATAGTTACCTTGAAAAAAACTGAAATATAAAAAAAACTTAAACGTAACCAGAGCAAATAGAGATAAACAGAGATTATAAAATTAGAGAGAAAGCAAATGAATAAAAGATTTATGTAAGAAAATTTGTTGTTTGTGGGAAAAAAAAAAGAGGTCAAGAAATAATTTGTTTAAAAATGTAAAGTTATATTTCTAAAATTAATTTTTAAAACCGGAATATTATTTAAAGGGACATACACTATACCAAAAAAAAGACAGAAAATACTAAATTCTAAATCATATGAAAGTTAAGCTATTAAACTACAAGAATAAGAAAACAATTAGCCCATGAAAACAGAAACCTTATATATATATTATATGTTTTAAATCAGACTAGTTTCAGACTTTCCTACATCCAAACTTAATGTAAAAAGATAAAAGATTAGTATCTAAAGTTTGTTAATCAAAGAAAGAATGTAGGAATGAAGAAACTGATTTTTTTTTTTAACTGGAAACTGGTAGTAAGAAATGAATCCATTTGAATTTAGATTCAATATTAACATAAAATTATCTCAAAATAATAAGAATTATTTATGAAAAAAAACATAGCCAATATCATACCGAATGGGCAAAAACTGGAAGCATTCCATTAAAAAACCAGCAGAAGACAAGAATGCCCTCTCTCACCACTCCTATTCAACATAGTGAGGGACTATGTTAACTTCTCTTCCTGGGTCCACAGGGGGTATGGTTTCAAAGGCAAGAACTTCCCAGTGCCATGCCTCCATCCACCTCCCTGTCAGGCCTCCATGTGCAAGCCCGGACCCAGAAAGTCTGAAGTCTTGCCTGCCTTGGCTAATCACCCCCAACTCATTGCCTGTGTTTACCATTATCCCTGATAACTCAACTGAGCTTCCCCTGGTCATAAGCTTCCCCTCACCCTACCCTGCCATCTTAACTGTTATTATGATAATGTGACTATTCCTCACCCGACCCTGCCATCTTAACTACTCTATGCCTTACCCCACCCCCCACTGTAACTGAATTTATGGTAATGTATACTCCTAGCCCCTACCCTCACCACTGTCACTGATCTTACTCTGTAACTTTCCACTGCCCACCCCAAACCTGTAAAACCAACTTCTGGAAGAGCGTGGTGGCTCATGCTTGTAATCCCAGCACTTTGGGAGGCCGAGGCAGGTGGATCATGAGGTCAGGTGATCAAGACCGTCCCGGCCATTGTGAAACGTCATCTCTACTAAAATACAAAAAATTAGCCGGGTGTGGTGGCACATGCCTATAGTCCCAGCTACTCAGGAGGCTGAGGCAGAGGAATCGCTTGAATCAGGGAGACGGAGGTTGCAGTGAGCCAAGCAAGATCATACCATTGCACTCCAGCTTGGCAAAAAGAGCAAGACTCCGTCTCAAAAAAAAAAAAAAAAAAAAAAAAACCAACTCCTATCCCACTGCCCTTTGTTAACACTCTTTTCGGCCTTAGCCCACCTGCACCCAGGTGAATAAAGAGCCATGTTGCTCACACAAAGCCTGTTTGGGGGGGGTCTCTTCATTCAAAGTGCATGTTTTAACACTCTCCACTTGGAAACCTAGAGATTTTTGTCTAACTTCCCTATGCAGGCTAGATAAGATGTCAGGTGTGCTCCTTTGTTTGAAAACACTGCCAAAAGCCCTGGAAGAAGGGGCTCTGTTGTGAGCCCAAGTAACCAATCTGGGATCAAAGTCAAAGATCAATCACTCCAGAAGAATTCTCAAAGAACTGCTCTCATTGGACAAGAACATAAATGGGGCGGGAATAACTTCAAGGTTTAAACTCTACTGCCCCTTACCTGTACGGATTCCTCTGGGATCCCCTCCCATGACAACGTGGGAGCTGTCTTTTCCTCTCTACCTGTGCTGATTTCCCTCTCTGGTATCCCCTCCCACAACAGCATGGGAGCTCTCTCTCTACCTCTTTCTCTCTCTGCCTAATAAATGTGCTCTGAAAAACTCTTTGGGTTCAATATTTACTTAACCAGTATGCTCACGAGCTGCCAGGCCCTCTCCCATTCTTGGAAAAAGGGAGCCCAAGAACCTGGGACACCTGGTTACAAAAGAGTATTGGAAGTTCTGGCCAGAGCAATCAGGCAAGAGAAAAAAAATAAGGATTATTCAAATAGAAATAGAGGAAGTCAAATTGTCTCTCTTTGCAGATGACATAATTGTATATTTAGAAAGTGCCATTGTGTCAGCCCAAAAACTCTATGAGCTGATAAACAACTTCAGCAAAGTCTCAGGACATAAAATCAATGTGCAAATATCACAAGCATTCCTACCTATACACCAATAATAGATAAACAGACAGCCAAATCATGAGTGAACTCCTATTCATAATTGCTGCAAAGAAAATAAAATACCCAGGAATACAACTTACAAGGATGTGAAGGATCTCTTCAAGGAGAACTACAAACCTCCATTCAAGGAAATAAGAGAGGACACAAACAAGTGGAAAAGCATTTCATGCACGTGGATAGAAGAATCAGTATCATGAAAATAGCCATACTGCCCAAGGGGTGGGGAACATCACACACCAGGGCCTGTCAGGGGGTAGGCGGAAAGGGGAGGGAGAGCATTAGGACAAATACCTAATGCATATGGAACTTAAAACCTAGATGACAGGTTAATAGGAGCAGCAAATCACCATGGCACATGTATATTTATATATCAAATCTGTACATTCAGCACATGTATCCCAGAACTTAAGGCAACATTTTTAAAAAATATGGCTATAGGACAAAACCTCAAAAACTTTGTCTGTTTAAAAATATTAACATAACTAGGAAAAATCAAGAAATAGAGAAAAAAGATTATGGCATCCAGTGTGAAAAGCTGCCCTTGAAAGAGTGTTTTAGGAAACGGTACATCTTATCATAAGGTGGCGTTTATTTGAATTTCAGCCATCACTACAGTCTGTTCTCCTTATAAGTAAACTTGTATTTTAAAAATTTTATTACATTTTTAATAAAACCTGATCTGACTCTTAGAATTTTTTAATTAATGTGGATCTACCTATTTTCACACTTCAATACTTAGAGAGTTATTTGGATTCCCGCTTACTATAAAGATTAGTTTAAATTACAACTTCATTTTGATATTTTCATCATTGTTTAAAATTTTGGTTTTGGAAGGCACATACCACTTTTAACAAAAAGAAAATTAAGCCTTAATAAATAGATAAGATTTTATATTGGTTAATTCTAGAGTTAAAATACAGAATATTATTCATGTTTTCATATATCCCACATAACTAAATTCTCCCTTAAGTATGTCTCTCACCACCCACAATCCTAGATGCTTTCCAGAGGTTCTCATTGTTATCATCTTGATGCTCCCACTTCCAGGTCCATTTCTATACATATAAATGCAGGCATGTATTTGTATATGCAGTATTACTTTAGGGCTTCCTTAATTATTTCAAAGTGCTCATATTGTTCTACAATTTTCTATCTTCACTCAATATTAAGTTTTAGAAATCTTTCACATTGTTATGTAATGATGAAATATCCACATTAAAGAATATTCTACATAATGATTTATTTGGCTATTTTCTTATATTTTCTAATTTCTGTCATTTCCTCTTCTTTTCTATTACAGGAAATGCTACAATGAGCATCATTGTAAATATTTTCTCAGGCAGAGATTCAGATTCTGAAGAATGACAAGCTGCCAGTTTGGACTCCCTCTGCTCCCTTTTAAGATGCAGTGGGGATACTCAATGCTATTATTAGTAAGGATGAATTCAAGGCCTCTTTTCATGAGTTCCAATTGTAACAATCATCATAATGCATAAGCATAATGTACTTTTTATTATACATATCAAAATGATTTTGTATAGAGGCCTTCCAGGGAGAATCAATATAAAGGGAAATGGAGGGAAAATTTCACTGTGTATAGGGTAAGACTCACAATCGAGCAATTAAAGGCAAACAATGTACTAAATCTGACCAGTTTGTTTTTTCATTCATTCATTCATTCATTTATTCAGAGACAAGGTTTTGTTATGTTGCCCAGGCTGTTCTCAAACTCGTGGTCTCAAGCTTTCCTCCCACCTCATCCTCCTGAATAGCTAGGAATATATGGGTGTAAGCCACTACACTCAGCTTGTTCATTTTTAAAGAAAGAATACGTTTAAGATTTTAAAGCTATTTCTTGGGTGAGGGAGATTGTAAAACTGTGTTTTCATATTGAGTTTTCTCTACTGCCTCCCCTTCAAAACGGGAAGCCACACTGAGCAAGACTGATAAATGCTCCTCCAGGGAGACAGGAACCATCATCTTGAAAATGTCTCTACAAGAGACCTCTGACTGGTATCCACTCACCAGTCAGGACAATCTCATGCCCTTTATAAACAGTCATTTCCTGGACATTTTGTGATAGAAGGGCTCTACAACTTTGGCTCAAGGACTTCTTACCACCTTAGTTCTTGTTTTTCTTATTGGCTATACAAGGTTCACAGTTTGGACCTGCAGGACCACACCAATTACATATGACATATATATATTTATTTATATGTTATATATTATATATAAATATAGTAATGTGATATACATTTATACATATATATATATAGTAATATATAGTAATGTGATATTTTCTGTTTCTGTTGTGCCCAATGTCATTGGAAATATATATATGTATGTGTGTGTGTATATATATATATATATATACACACACACATATATTTAGGTCGAGAAAGTAGCAAAAATGCTAAGTAGATTAGAAGTTACTTGGAAAACTCCCCAAAAGCTCCCAGCTGTGTAACCAATACCAGAGCATTATGTCCACTTCTAGGGATAAAAATCAACCAAAAAATCATGATTCACGACCCTAGTTCATTCATAATTTGACTAATAGAACACAATCAAGAATATAAAACTTTGAGAATGATTGGGGTGTGCCAAAGCAGGCGGTGGCTTAGGACCTAGGTCTCCAGAGTGGGTTTTTATCTGAATACCTTGATTGAACCAGGCTGGGCTCTGCACATACAGTGTTTCTCCCTAAACACTAGAAATTTACTCATACTCTTAACTTCTCTCCACTTTCCTTGGCTATCCAAGTTCTTTACCTTTCTCAATACTCAACTCCCAACCAAACTCTTCTACGATTAATCTGAACAAGGTTGATTTATCAGGACTTTAGTCTGGGGTCCCATTTTATGCATACAAACCTATCTTGTAGGTTTCATGAGAAAAGGACCATATATTTTTTTCATTTCAAGTCTATATATTTAGTAAGAAGAGAGATGAGAGAAGAAAAGAGAACAAGAATGAAACAAAAAAACAGTGCCCAATGACTTATTTAAATGAAAATGACATATTAGGAAAATCTTGGCTGTGATGGTCTTTACGTATGAATGTGCAGAGAGGTGCGGAATACAAAGCTAATGGTCAAGGAACTCTCCAAGTCAATTTATTTTCTGAAATTAACTAAATAAAAATCACTGTGCTAACTCTGTTCATCTTCTGTCAACTACTCCCTTCTGTGGCAGTCCAAATTGCAGACATAACATGGATGTAAAGAAGCCAAAATCCAGTTTTAGTTTTAGGATCCCCCAGACTTGGATAGGATGAGATCACAATTTTTTCTTTCCTATCATCTGATCTCTGCAGAGGCCAGCACCTCTTTTCCTTCAGCACTTCAGATAGAGAGAAATCCTCCATATCTTTAAAAATCTTGAAAAGCAGATGGATTCCCATTGTTCTCTGCTTATGCTCCCTCCTGTTCCTGTTTTCAGGCTAGTGTCTTCTATTCTTTGTTGCTTCCCTCTTCATAGGAAAATGAGGTTGCACACACAAAATATATCTAATAACCATCAACACTGAAGCCATGGTGTTGACAAGGTGCCCAGAGAGCACGTTTTCAGGAACTGAAGATTAAGTTACTTTATAATCATTATTTCCTCCTAGGATACTAAATGAAGTGGAGGCCTGAGACCACTGGTTCTTCTTCTTCAATTCTGCCTACAAGTCCACTTTGAATAAAGTGTGTTTGAGTGTGAGACCAGGTCTGATGCCTTGTCTCTACCACCACTGCACTGATTCTCAGATATTTTCCAGAAACTCTCATCAACTAAGCTTTCTTGCATCATGAAGTTGACAGATGAAGGGCACCAAACACCCATCCTCACGCACTTAGCTACTTACACTCAAAGAAAGATACATAAAACTTACTTTACCTCTGCCCATGTAATGAGCCTTGGCCCAAATATTTGTTAATAATAAAATGTATAATTTCCAAATGCCCTGGATGACATTGTACTTGCTGAATATTATTTAAAGTTACTCTTCAGGGGGAAAAAGCTTTAATAATTTATGCCTTCTTGGCTATTTTAATTTTCTTTTTATTGCATTTTGGCAGGGCATACTAAGCATAAATTGAATAAAATGAGACATCACACATTGAGTATTAATTACCACACTATTAAGAGATCTTGCCAATTTGCATTCTGAGCTAAACAATGAGAAACTATAAAGAAGTGGAATTTTAAAAATTGCTTGCTATTTTTCCTTCTCAGAACATAAGTCACATACATGTTACAAAGTATTTTTCTTTTCATTTTCACATTTTAAATTAATTCTATTAAGGATAGAAACTGTTGGATTGAATAAGGCAAAAACTAGACCTTAATACATTGCACAGTAGGTCAGATGATTCTAGGACAGAATATTCAAGGACTCAGGAAAAAAAAAAAGATTTGGCAGTTGAAAATAGAAACTCATTCAGAAGCTAAAGATTCTAGGGAAATAATTAGGGATTAAGATGTCATTCTTGCTCAAATAATCAGAAAAAATCAGAAGACATCCTTAAACCCAGGAAGCTGGGAAACTCTCATAACATAAATTTCACACCATCTGGAGAGAAGACCCCAGGAAACTGAAAGCAGTGGAGGACACAGGGCTGGGTGGCTCCGGGCAAAGCTGTGGAGGACACAGGGCTGGGTGGCTCTGGGCAAAGTGGTGGAGGACACAGGGCTGGGTGGCTCCGGGCAAAGTGGTGGAGGACACAGGGCTGGGCGAGAAAGTGTGTTTGTGGGTAAGGGTATTACTCTGGGGGACCCTGGGAGGGCCACAAGACCTTAGAAGGAGTATATGTTGTATCTTGGGCATCAATTTGTCTAGGAACAAATTTTGAACTTGACCTGGAGGACTTCATACTAGGTATCCATCCTCTTGAAAGGAATATCCTCAGAGTTGTTCCATAAAACCTGGCTTGGTGACGTATTGCCGAGGAAAAGAATCACCTGACTACCAATGGTGAAAGTGTTGATGGCACAGCCAGAGTGTGATTGGCTAAAAATGAGATGGAGACTAACCGGAAGCTCAGTGGTAGGAAAGAAGAAAGAATAAAATAGACTCCCTTCCTTACACATACACAACCAGGCCCAGGTTTCACTGCTTTACATGTGATCTGTGATCACTCACAACTGTGGAATATTGAATTCCCCTGAGAGTAGGAAACAAAAAAAAAAAAAAACTCTACTCTCTATCTTAAATTTCTTTTTAAAAATATTGTGCTGGAGGTATCAATAAGTGAAATAAAACAAGAAAATAATAATACCTTACCAAGTAGAAGAAAAAAGAAATAAAATTACGATTTGAAATTACAATTACCACACTACCATAGAAGCTTGCTTATCTAGGAAATCCAAAGTAATCTGTGGGCAAAGTATTAATATTAATTGGTCTACATGTCAAAGTCACTGAATACATGGTTAACTAAATATTTCACACCTGATTCTATACACACTACTAGAAAATGAAGTTATAAATGGCACTCTTTACAATAGCATGAAAGAAATTATAAATGCTGTGATTTCCAAAAACATTAACACATCAGCATCAAACGTTTAGAAATATGTGCTCTCTCACTCTCTATCTCTCTCTCTCTCTCTCTCTCTCTCTCTCCATATATATATAAAGGTATGATATTTCTACACTAAAACCAAAAAAAGAAAAAACCCCTAAAACTATTATTGAAAGAACCCTAAAAATACCAAAGGAAACAAATGAAATGGAGGGCTGCAGAATGTTTATGGCTTAAATGATTCCATTTTGTACAGATACAAATCCTCCCTGAATTAATCTGTAAATCGAGTACATACCAGTAGTTTGTGTGTATGTGTGTGTGTGAGTACGTTAGTCACAGTCAAAATTAACAAGTTAATTCTAAAATTCAAATATAAATTGAATAACAAGATAACCCAAGGCAATGTTGAAGACGCAGAAGAAGAAAGCTGAAGAATGTACAGGATCAAACAGCAATATTACTTCAAGTCTGCGGCAAATCCATCATTATGTTGGCACAAGGAGAAGTAACAATCAAGGACACAGAATCTAGAAAGCAGCTACACCTGTATCTCCACTGTGAGTCACCGAGAAAATGAACTGTATGATAACGAGGAAAATATCTCAATTAGGTATATATCTAGATCCTTATTTCACTTCATACTCAATACTCACTTTGAAAAAGTTTGTCAAATTTAAAAATGATTGGAAAGGCAGTAAAAACATTTATAGAAAAATAGTGGAAGATATCATTTTGTGATAGATAAGCAAAGATATTTCACAGTATATAAAATCTGTAACAAGAAAGAAAATTGAAGAATTAAAATTTACTAAAATAAAAAAACATTATCCTCACAAGACACTAATAAAAATAAAAAGGCAAACTATAGGCTAAAAGAACATAGCAATAAATATATTAAGTTGGTGCAAAAGTGATTCTGTTTTTCCATTACTTTCGATGGAAAAAACTGCAATTGCTTTTGTATCATCCTTAAATAACAAAGGCATTATACTCAGAAAACATTAATGACATCTACAACTCAGTAAGAAAAGGTTACACAACCAAATTGGAAAATGAACAAAAGTCTTGGCTTTTCACAAGAAGCAGACACCAAAACGTAGCCAGGGGCAGTGGCTCATTGTCTATAACCCCAGCACTT